GAGAGAGAGAGAGAGAGAGGGAGGGAAAGAGAGAGAGAGAGAGAAAGAGACAGAGAGACACATATCAAGAGATCGAAAAAAAAATCGAGTAAAAAAAAAAGAAAAAAAAAAAATCCGCTTACCTCATCCAACCCCCCAACCCCCATCCCCCCACGCCCAACCACATCACCACCCCCCCTAAAACCTCCTCCTTCCCGCCCACAGCCCGACGGAACAGCCCATCCCGACGTGGACCGACGGCCGCACCACCACCACCACCCCGCCCTCACTCACGCCCATCGCCATGTCACGCCCACGCTTCTCCTGCTCGGCGGCGGACGTCAAGCAGGCGATCAGGAACAACCTCCTGCCTATCCTTACCATTTCGGGCGTGACGGGCGGGATCCTGCTCGGGTTCATCCTCAGGTGGGTGGCCATGCGTGGGCGTGGGCGCTCTCTCGGGTTATTTTTAGTTTTTGTCTATATTATTTTTTATTATTATTAGTATGGTTAATCAGCTATTCGGTAATTCTTATTTTTATCTTTATTGTTATGATTTTTATTATTGTTGTTATTGTTATAATTAATCAGTTATTTTGTCTATGTATTTTATCTATTTATTTTATTTTATTAAATAGTTGTTCACGTTTTTAATTATCTTTTCTTAGATTTCTTCTTCTTTTCCTAATTTTCATTGTCCTTATTGCGTATGGCTATATATATATATATATATATATATATATATATATATATATATATATATATATATATATATATATATATATATATATACATATATATATATTAGCAATACTAATGTTATCATTATAATATTTATAGATCAATATGTGTTCGAAACTTCTGTAACATGTTAATGAGAGTATTTTTTTCCTGTTTAAAGTACTCGACATGACAATAACTATAAGCATGATAGAGCTTTACAATATATATCTCTTGGTGGCGCTAGATGTTCTATTTATATTAGATATATGTTAGATAGATGTTATATATCAGATAGATATTACATATATAGTTATTGCATAGATAGGTACAGCTTGTTAGATAACACATCGATAGATATTTCATAGATAGATATTATATATTAGATAGGCATTATATCTTAGATAGATGTCTACATATATATATATATATATCATATACTATACAGATATTACATAGATATAAAGATAGATATAACACAGATAGATATTACCTATTTGAGAGATATTACTTAGAGAAATATTAAATAGATAGAAGTAAACAGAAAGAGATCATATAGATAGATATCAAACACTTAACTCGTAGATACTTAGATAGATATTTCACAGAAATAGCCCAATCTATTTTCTTGCAACTTAGATAGGTATTGAAAAAATAACCCGATCTATTTTCTTGCAACTTAGATAGGTATTGAAAAAAATAACCCGATCTATTTTCTTGCAGGAAATTGTTCAAGCTTTTCCTCCATTGCAGAAAGATCTTGCAGACCGTGTTGCATGTCGCTTAACAGGAACTTCTCTGACTGATCTTTTGTTGCAGAAATCTCGGGTCTTAATGGATGTTGCATTGTCTTGCAGGGGGATCTGGCCAATCACGGGAACGCAGAACTTACTGGCTGATGCAGAAATAAATTGTCTCGTTCTTTGTCGCAGAGAGGAATGTAAATAATCATATGTTGCAGGAATAATTTATATATATATATATATTATATATATATATATATATATATATATATAATTTTCTTCTCTCTCTCTCTCTCTCTCTCTCTCTCTCTCTCTCTCTCTTCTCTCTCTCTCTCTCTCTCTCTCTCTCTCTCTCTCTCTCTCTCTTTTACTTGTTTACCTGGATGTCTAGTTTTTAATTTTCATTTAGATTATATATCTATCTATCCATCTATTTATTTATGTATGTATTTATTCATTATCTTTTTAAGAAGTTGCACTTACCTAAAAACCTGTTGATGACTGAAGACAGATCGGTAAGAATAATCAATTGGTGTGACAGGCCTTTTAAGAAAACGTTTTTGTAAATATAATTTGTCTATTTTCAGACTTATAGCATTCAATTGTCAAGTTGGTCTTTTAAATATGAAAGAGAAGAGTGAATGATAAGAAATAAATAGATAAAGATTGATAAGAAAAACAAATAAAAAGGAAATGTCGAATAAAACTGAGCATAGGTGCTTTGCAGACACTGTTTCAACAGAGAGCTAATCTAAGTCCTCCTAAGTTGCAGGAACTTAGTGGTGTAGAGTATAAACTTGTACGTTGTTTCCTGTTTCCAGGAACTAGTTCAGCTGTTCACATGTTGCAGAAACTTAGATTCTACGGTATATTCCAGATTTGCAGGGATGTAAACTTTGCTGTGTGTTGCATAAATTATTATTTTCTGTTTCAGGAACTTAAACTTTCCTGCACAGATTTTTGTCTTTATTTTTTATTTTTTGCAAAAGCAGTGATCTGTAAGATACAGAATCTCATACCTTGCTACATGTTGCAGAAAATCACCTCGCTAAATGTTGCAGGAATTCATGTATTTCTTAGCTGTTGCAGACACACAGAAGCCCGTACCTCGCTGAATATTGCACACATTGCTCATAATTTCTTGCCTATTGCAGTCACTAGCTATGTGCACCTCCCAGTCCTCGCCCTCTCCCTCCCTCCCCATTCGCCTTCCCTCTCCCTCCTTCCCCATTTGTCTTCCCTCTCCCTCCCCCATTCTTCCCTCTCCCTCCCTCCCATTCCCTCTCCCTCCCTCCCATTCCCTTCCCTCTCCCTCCCTCCCCATTCACCTTCCCTCTCCCTCCACTTCCCTCAGCCCCTCTTCCCTCCCTCTCTCCTCACCCCCTCTTCCCTCCCCTTCCCTCACCCCCATCTCCAAACTCTCTCCCCTCTCCCTCACGCTTTCCCCCACCCACGCCTACGCTCTCTACCGCCCCCACCGCCCATTGCAGGTTCTCCCTCACGCTCTCCCTTTCTCCCTCCTCCACCCCCGTCCCCGCCTACTAACAACCCCGCCGCCCATTCCAGGTCCTCCCTCACGCTCGCCCCCACCCTCTCCCTCTCCCCCAATCACGCCCACGCCCCTCTCACTCACGCTCTCCCCCGCCCCCGCCCACGCTGCCTATTGCAGGTTCCCCCTCGCCCTCATACTTTCTCCCTCACGCCCACGCCCTCTCCCTTTCTCCTCCCCTTCACCCTCTCCCACACCCTCTCCCTCCCCTCTCCCTTTCTCCCTCCCCCTGACGCCCTTCTCCCCCTTCCCTAACGCCCCCTGACGCCCTTGCCGGCCGTTGCAGGTTCTCCCGCAGCGAGCGATGGTCGAAGCGCGAGGTGATGTACGTGGGCTACCTCGGGGAGCTGTTCCTGCGGGCGCTGAAGGCGCTCATCATCCCGCTCATCGTGTCCTCGCTCGTCTCCGCTATCGGTCGGTGCCTCTTCCCTCTTTATTATTCTTTATTCTCCTTTTATTCGTTTTTTTTCTCTTTGTTCTCTCCAGTCTTTTTTTTTTTTTTTTTTTTTTTTTTTGTCTCGTCGCTCGTCTCCGCTATCGGTCGGTGCCTCTTCCCTCTTTATTAGTCTTTGTTCTTCTTTTATTCGTTTTTTTCTCTTTGTTCTCTTCAGTCTTTTTTTTTTTTTTTTTTTTTTTTTTTTTTTGTCTCGTTGCTCGTCTCCGCTATCGGTCGGTGTCCCTCTTCCCTCTTTATTCTCTTCCCTAGTTATTCTTTTTATTCTTCTTTTATTCGCCTTTTTTCTCTTCACTCTTCTTTTATTCGCTTTTTTTTGTCTCGTCGCTCGTCTCCGGTATCGGTCGGTGTCCCTCTTCCCTCTTTATTATTCTTTATTCTCCTTTTATTCGCTGTTTTTCTCTTTGTTCTCTTCACTCTTCTTTTATTCGCTTTTTTTCTCTTTATTGTCTTCATTCTTCTTTTTTTTTTCTTTTTTTTTGTCTCGTTGCTCGTCTCCGCTATCGGTCGGTGCCTCTTCCCTCTTTATTCTCTTCCCTAGTTATTCTCTTTATTCTTCTTTTATTTTTATTTATTTATTTATTTATTTTTTTATTTATTTTTTTTGTCTCGTCGCTCGTCTCCGCTATCGGTCGGTGCCTCTTCCCTCTTTATTCTCTTCATTCTTCTTTTATTCGGCTGTTTGATTTTTTTTCTCTCTCTCTCGTCGCTCGTCTCCGCTATCGGTCGGTGTTCCTCTTCCCTTTCCTTACTTGTTTGTTTATTTGTCTTCCTCTCTTCATTTCCCTTGTTATCTTTCTTTCTTTTTCTTTTTTTCGTCCTCTTCTTTTCATCGTCCCGCTCATCGTCTCCTCGCTCGTCTCTGTTATGTCTCTCTTCCCTTTTCTTCCTTGTTTGTTTGTTCGTCTTCTTTTATTCGCGTCTTCCATTTCTCTCTCCCTCTCTTTTTTGTTGTCTGTTCTCTCTCTCTGTTTATATCTGTATCTATATTATATATTATATATAATATATATATATATATATATATATATATATATATTATATTAATATATATATATATTATATATATATATATATATATATATATATATATATGTATATATATATACAGACATACATACATATGTAATATATATATATATATATATGTATATATATATATATATATATATATATATATTATATAGATATATATATACATATAATGTATATATATATATATATATATATATATTATATATATATATATATATATATATATATGTATATATATATATACAGACTCCCTCCCGCCCTCACTCACCCCCCCCTCCCGCAGGCTCCCTGGACCTGTCGCTGTCGAAGAAGATCGGGCTCCGCGCCATCGCCTACTACATCACCACCACCGTGTCAGCTGTCATCCTGGGCATCATCCTGGTGGTGACGATCCACCCGGGGAAGGGCAACGACGACGACATCATCAAGCGGGGGAGGCCAAGGCGTCCTACAGCCCGACCTCCTCATGGATCTGCCCAGGTGAGGGGAGGGGGTGGGGGGAGGGGGGTGGGAGGAGGCGGGGGAGGCCAAGGCGTCCTACACCCCCGACCTCCTCATGGATCTGCCCAGGTGAGGAAGGGGTGGGGGGGGTGGGGGGGTTGAGGGGTTGGGGGGAGGGGAGGCCAAGGCGTCCTACACGCCCGACCTCCTCATGGATCTGCCCAGGTGAGAGGGTGGGTGGGGGGTGGGGGGTGAGGGGGGAGGCCAAGGCGTCTACACCCCGACCTCCTCATGGATCTGCCCAGGTGAGGAGGGGGTGGGGTGGGGTGGGGGGAGGGAGGGGAGGCCAAGGCGTCCTACAGCCCGACCTCCTCATGGATCTGCCCAGGTGAGGAGGGGTGGGGGTGGGTGGGGGGGAGGGAGGGGAGGCAAGGCGTCCTACACGCCCGACCTCCTCATGGATCTGCCCAGGTGAGGAGGGGGTGGGTGGGTGGGGGGGAGGGAGGGAGGCCAAGGCGTCCTACACGCCCGACCTCCTCATGGATCTGCCCAGGTGAGGAGGGGGTGGGGTGGGGTGGGGGGGAGGAGGGGAGGCCAAGGCGTCCTACACGCCCGACCTCCTCATGGATCTGCCCAGGTGAGGAGGGGTGGGGGGTGGGGGGGGGAGGGAGGGGAGGCCAAGGCGTCCTACACGCCCGACCTCCTCATGGATCTGCCCAGGTGAGGAGGGAGGTGGGGTGGGGTGGGGGGGAGGGAGGGGAGGCCAAGGGCGTCCTACACGCCCGACCTCCTCATGGATCTGCCCAGGTGAGGAGGGGTGGGGGTGGGGTGGGGGGGGAGGGGAGGGGAGGCCAAGGCGTCCTACACGCCCGACTCCTCATGGATCTGCCCAGGTGAGGAGGGGTGGGGGTGGGTGGGGGGGAGGGAGGGGAGGCCAAGGCGTCCTACACCCCCGATCTCCTCATTTGGAGGCCCCATAGGGTGGGAGGAGGTGGGGAGGGAGGGGTGGGGGTGGGAGGGGGGGGGGGGGTGGGGAAGGATGGGGGAAGGATGGAGGTTGGGGTGGGATTGGGGGAGGGTGAGGGGTTGGGGGGTGGGTGGAGGGGGAGGAAGGGAGGGAGGCCAAGGCGTCCTACACCCCCGACCTCCTCATGGATCTGCCCAGGTGAGGGGATGGGGGTGGGGAGGGGGGAGGGGTATTGGGGGGTAATAGGGACCTCCTCATGGATCTGCCTAGGTGAGGGTTGGGGGTGGGTGAGGGGGTGGGGAGGGGGAGGGTGGGGGGAAGGGGGGATAATTGAGGGACCTCCTCATGGATCTGCCCAGGTGAGGAGGGGGTTGGGGTGGGGGGAGGGGGGTGGAGGGGGGAAGGGGGGATTGGGGGAGGGGTCGGGGGTATTGGGGGGTGGGAGGAAGGGAGGGAGGCAAGGCGTCCTACACCCCCGACCTCCTCATGATCTGCCGGTAGGGAAGGGGAGGAGGGGGGAGGGTATAGGGGACCTCCTCATGGATCTGCCTAGGGAGGGGGGGGTGGAGTGAGGGTGGGGAGGGGGAGGGGGGGGGAGGCGGGGATAATGAGGGGACTCTCTATGGATCTGCCCAGGTGAGGAGGGGGTGGGGGCGGTGAGGGGGGGGGGTAGGGGGTAGGGAAGGGGGATTGCGGAGGGGGGAGGGGGTATTGGGTGGGGTGGGAGGAGGGGAGGGCGAGGCCAAGGCGTCCTCACGCCCGACCTCCTCATGGATCTGCCAGGTGAGGATAGGGAGGAGGGGGGAGGGGAGGGGGGTATTGGGGTGAGGGGGAAGAGGGGATAATGAGGGACCTCCTCATGGATCTGCCCAGGTGAGGGGTTGAGGGGGGGGTGAGGGGGTATTGGGGTGAGGGGTATTGGGGAGGATTGGGTGGGTAGGGGAATGGGGGAGGGTAAGGAAAGCGGGGAGGGGAGGGAGGGTAAGAGATCATGGATCTGCCCAAGAGAGGATTTAGAGGGGGGATGGGGATGGAGAGAGGGGGAAGGAGAGGGGGAGGAGGGGAGGTTGGTAGAAGGGTGTGGGAGGACGATAGAGAAAGGGTAGCAGGACAGGGGGAGAAAGGAGAAAAAGAGACAAGTAGGAAAAAATAGAAGAGGAATAGGAGAAGGAATGGAGGAGGGAAAGGAAGGAATAAGAAGAAAAGGAGGATAAGGATAGAATAAAAGGAGGAGCAATAAGTGGAGGAGAAGGAGAAAGGAAGAGAAAGAAGGAGATAGGGAGAGATGAAAAATTAAGAGGAACAAGAGGGGGGAAAGGAGGAATAGAAAATAGGAGAGGGAATAGGAGAGGAAAAGAGGATGAGAGGAAAGAGATAGCGAAGATAAATAATTATTCATTTCTTTCTTTTATATTACTAACAATAATGGTAATAAGATATAAATTATATTATAAAAAAAAATCATTATGATAATGATAACAGTAATGGCAATACTAATTGATAATGATAGCATTAATATGGAAACAATTATAGTAGTAATAATGAAGATTGAGTAAAAAAGATAAACAGAGAAAAGCTTATATATTTTACTTGATGTTTTTGTTGTCTAAATTTTTTTTTTTTTTCAAAAGCTTATTTATTTTACTTGATTTTTATGATCAGTCCAAATAAATTTTCACATGATTCCCGTCCTGTTACTTTTTTTTCATTATAACAAGAGTAAATCAAGTGCAGGCATTATAACACAGAAAAAAATAACTAATTTTTTTCATTATTTTCACAGAAATCTTTTCCCGCCAAATCTGATCCAAGCTTGCTTCGAAACG